CTTGTTATTTAGTAGACCGATTTGGATGATCTAACTACCATTAGGTGTATCTCGATGAGTTCTACAACTTTTAATTAATTGATATATATCATTAACTTAATAAAAAAAAACTTTTCATTTGACTTCGCTCAGATTGAAGCATATAGAAGAATTTTGCACTAATTTCTAATATAAAAATTCTGCTGATCTTATCCGGATCAGCAATTAAGATAATTATCTTTTCTTTCTATCTAAAATATTTTAATTAAAAGAATATTTTTTACTTAATATACAAATTGATTAGTAAAATTTTGTATAAATTTAAGATTTTAAAAAAATAATAAAAATTTAAAAATTTTAACAATTTTTAAATATTATTTAATTTGACTTGATTTAATTTGATCAAATTAAATTCAAATACAAAAATTTTAAATCAAATTAAATTCAAATATGCTTGATATTTGATTTGATTTGATTTTAAAAAATCTTAACAAATTGGTATTTGCTAATCAGAATACTTATCTATATAATTATTTTATTTATTTTATTTATTTATTTTTTTTTCATTTAGGCAAGTTGTGTCAGTATCTTTTATTTAATCAAGTTATAACCCCATAGAGGGTGCATTACATTAAAACTGAGATCTGACATCCTGTGGTTACTTCGCATAATCTAACTGATTATCTACACGTACCTACAGGCGACTTGGCCATACTGGTAAGGTATGATCAATTAAAATAATACCTGCCTGGGGCTTATCTGACTACCGTTCTACAATAGGATATCGCCAATTTGATGATATCTTCTTGTAGAGAAGTGAAAGAAAAAGAAAAAGTTTTAAAAACAAACACAGAGGTATAGGGGAATACGTAAAAAAAAAACAAATAAAAGAAAATAAAAGTGTAAAGGAAAAATAGAAAACTAAACTAAACATAAAATTTTTTATCCACACCAGACGGTCACAATTATAAACCTGTGTCAGGCTTTAAAAATTACATATTACTATCTAAACTATTCTTTACACTAATTTATATAATTAATATATTTAGGCAAAAAACTCCTTAGAGAAAAAAATATTAGCTTCTTTGAAATCGGCACCATAAAGAATTCAAAAATCACACTATTAAGCTCAGAGTATTGTTTTTTCAGGTTGTCATGTCCAAGGCACATAATCTACATGTTCACGTTCTATATATATCTATGTGTTTGTTGTGACAGATAAAAATATAAACAATATTGCCTAATTTGGTAAGTAACAATATATCGATCTTTTGGAGGGGTAAACTAAATCATCTACTTTTTTACAAAATTTTTCTCAAAAAAAAAGTGGTAGAGCAATGAAAATGTGTGAGGTTCTTCTGTAAGTTTTACAGTCGTATAGTTAATTCTTCAAGACAAAACTATCTCAGCGAGAGCCGGTCCACTCTTGTTTCTAGAATAAACTTTCTAGTTTGGATACCGAATATCCTGGGGAGTTCACCAGTACAAGAAAGCTTGACCTCAAGAAGAACCACTCAAGTTATGCCCGCTTCTCAGTATTTCATGTCTTTCGAGATTCATTGACAGCAACCTGTTTAGAGGTAAATTCAGTTTTCAGAATATCTTCTGGTTTAGATGCCAAATATCTTAAGAAGTCCACTGAAAATACAAAAGCTTGACCCAAGAAAAACTGCCCAAGTTATGACCGCTTCTTAGTGTTTCATGTCTATAGACTTTGTTGACAACTGCTTACTCAAAGACAGGACCGAAATAGTATTTATCTTGGAACTTCCTATAGCGTTTTTCTGTAGTTCGATTTTTGTTGCATTGTTCAGAGGATCATTAGAAAGAGTTGCTACCGATTTTTGTTTGGTGTTATCTATAGGACGTGACAAAAATCAGATGATTTTTTAGAGGGGAGGGGTAAAAAAAGTTAAAATTATATATAAGAATCTAATTTTTTTTATATTAAGAAGAGAGAGGAGTAAGCCTTTGATAAAAAATAATCAGGTGATAAATGATACTGCCCTATATAATTATAATAATTATATAGAACTTAGATAACTTATAAATAAAACTAAATTAACTATATTTTAAATTGTATAAAAGTATAAAAACTATATATATATAACTTTTATTATTAAACTATATATCTCAAATTCTCTTTATCACTTTAACTTTAAATTTATATTCTATTCTAAAGTATAACAAATTATTAACTTTATATATTTTTACTATCTCATCTTATCTATTAGATATATAAGTATTTAAAACTATTTAAGTTCTTAATATACAAGACAATATTCTTAAATAAAGAATAAATTATTTTCTATATTACCATATATTTGTTATATTTATATTACAGAGTTATTAAATATAAAAGTGGTAAACAATACTGATCTTTTGACAAGAAGTAGCCAAATTTCCCACTTTTTGTCAAAAATTAGATTTAGAAATATTAAAGTATTATAGTTTTACAAGTTTCTAATTAAAGAGAATTTTTTAAGAGTTTATTATATTTTTTGTCTTCAAACTTTCTGAGTTTTTTTTTTACTTGCTGTTTTTAAAAACTTTTTTGGTTGGATACCAAATACAAAAGAGAGTCTATCTAACAAAAAAAGCAAAACAAGATTTAAACTTTTTGCAAACTGTTCAAAATAGCCATTTCTCAATATATCATGTTTACAGATTTTATTGATAACAGTTCATATCAAAAAAATTTTAAGTTGTTGTTAACTTCTGGCTTTGAGTTTTTAACTTGCTTTTGGTACTAGTTAGTACAAATAATCATTAGAAAAAGTTGATAAATTTATAAGATATTTTTATATAAACTTATATTAATAAAAAATTATTTAGTTATTAAAATAAAAATCTAAAATTAGATTTTGCGAAGACAATTTAGATATAATCTGTTTAGATAGTTTAGTTTTTTTATTTAGAATTCTTAATTTACTAAAAATTTAAATCTAGAAGTTTATAGTAGATACTGTAGTTACTAGTTTTGTTAAAATTACTGCTTTATATAAATATCATTAATCTAAAAAGTTTTTTTTTTTTTAATATCAAAGTAATCTTATAGTTAGTTGCTTTTATTAGTTTATGTGCTAAACTAATCGAAATCAGCTGCTACTTATTTGGTATATGGTTTTAGAGAGTACAACTAGTCACATATACAATTTTTGATTGTTTATTTAAGTAGTCTGCCTGAAGATTCTATACTAGATGCTATATCTATAATTCAACTAGGGGATTATCTATTTAAACTCTCTGCACTGCTATATCTTTATGAGAAACCAATATCTGCTATAGGAAACACCTGATCTAGAGCTAATTTACCTTTGAAATAAACTTGTTAAAGCTTTTTATATCTACAATCTGGCTAATCTAGACTTTGATAACTTATGCTGGGTCTAAAGACAAGTATTTGCGAGCTAAGGCTGCTACTGTTACCTACTTCTGCCCTTGTAAAGTTCATTTAAACCCAGCATACACTTTACAGACTATTACTAGTTTTAATCTTGATAATCTCAAACTACCAATTCAGATAGCCTAAAAGGGTGTGATCTGCTTCTGGTCTCCACGATTAAGTTCTTTTCTTCTGGTTACTCCTCTAGCAGCCTAGTTAGTAGAGTGTCTTGTCAAATACTTTGGTCCTATTCAGTTTTGCCAGTTCTCTCAATGATGATCTTTTGGTAGTACCATCAAAGATCTGTATTACTTCTTTACTCGGGTCTTGCCAAGTGAGCGTCCATCATCCTTCCTAGTTTCCTGGGTTTACTATGATCTGAAAGCTTATTTGTATAACATATATATTATACAAATACTTCATAATCTTCTAATCTTTGTTGGTGCTACCAAGGTTACAAAGATATTCCAACCAATCAATAGAATGATAGTAGCCATTATACAGATAGAATTTTTAAAATTTGTTACTAGTAGGTTTCAAACCCCCTACCTAGCCAACATGTTGCTTGGGTACAACAACTTAACCACTTCACTAAATCGCCACACTCTTTATTAATCTGAAAAGATATTTCTTAGTAAAAATAATAGAAAGCAGAGTAATATTACGGGATGAATCGTACGTTTATTTAATTTATACACGAAAATATAGTTTTATATATTATAAGGTATTCGCCAGAGGTGTGCCGTTGGTAATTTGGTATTAGTTTATTTTATTAAATAGGTTTGACTAGGTGATTTATTAAATATATTAGAAAGAGGTTATTAAAATCCCGTCAGATGATATTTTTTAAAAAGAGCGAAATGCTTGAGCTTTTATAGCTTTATCGAATATAAAGAATTCAAGGGGCTTAGGGATGACTCACATATTATATCATTAACAAATTTAAGAAAACTAGTTCTAAGATAAGGGGCTTACAATGACAATTTCCAATATTATTATAATAAAGAAAGGCTTTGCTTCGCTTTTACAATTATTTGCTTTACAGCCACTTCAACTATATCTAAATCTTGTTATTCGGTCTTCTTTTATTTCTTTATATGCGTCTCTTGTTCTTCAGATTTCATGTTGGTTATTGTTTTGTCTTTATTCAGCTGATAAGCCTCAACCAATAAACCAGTATTTTTTAGATTTATTGCTTCAATCATGGATTTGTTGTGCCTAATTTTGTAGATTCTTCATTTTAGCCTGTGACATTCACCCAACCTTATTTTATGTATACCAGGCATAAAGTATTAGAATAATTACTTAATAACTTAATAAAGTCAATAATATTTAATTACAAAAATAAAATAATAAAGTAAAGAAAAAAAATTTTTATTCTGGTATATCATTCTTAAGAGGCCATGCCATATCCTTGGCCATTAGGAAGGTATTAGCTCGCTCACAACGAGTTTTGAACCTTCATTCTTTTGATCAATAGATAAGTATTCTAACTCATTTGTCCATATCAGGATAATTACTAATTTTGAAAATCTAACCCCTTAAGTTTGTAATTTGTACAACTTGACAATCTAATAGGAAAATTCCTTAAAAACCTTAATTTACGACATAGAAAAAAAAAATAACTTTAGTAATAATGCCTCGAAAATTTAAAAAACAATATGGACATCCTAAAAGACAAAGGTATATAAATTAATATATTTATAGAAGAAGAAAAAAAAATAAAAAAAAAACTAATGAAATAATTAATTATAATATATAGTAAAAAGTTTGATAAGGAGAAACAAAAAGAAGTTGTCGATAAAGTACAACAAAAAGATAAAGCACTACAAATATTATTTTATAGGTTTATACAATTAAAACAAATTGCAAAACTATAATCAGATAAATTTCGAGAACAAAAACAAAAAGGAAAAGAACAAATAGATTATTTAACTAAACTATTATATACTAAAGAAAAAGACAAGTATAAAGCAATAGAAATAGAAGACGCTTCATATAATACTATTAGATATTTCAGAAAAGAATCAGCAAAAAAATCAGAAAAACTTCGAAAATTAAAACAATAAATAAAACAATATAGAGAAGATCAAGAAGCTAATAAAGCAAGAGAAAAACTGCGAAAAGAACGAGAAGAATAGTATTCTACAAATTGAAGACTAAAAAATTCAACTAACGAATTAAAAGTTAAATTAACTAAAGAACAACAAAAATTACAAGTAAAATAAAAGAGCTAGAAGAAGAAATAGTAACAGTGAAAGAAGAACAAGAAGGATTAAAGAACGAATTACAATGGTAAGAGAAAAATTTTAACTTATAGTTATTATAACTAAA